TTTTGAAATAACTGGAAAGTGCTCGACGTGCGATGCGATACAGAGTTGGTCTGATAGGAACTTTCAGACACCTTCAGCAGTACCTAGAAGGTGTTTTAGCTGTGAAAGAATTCATTTTTTTTCTATAATATCTGTGAAATTCACAAAGAATGGTGAATTGCGCGTAGTTGGTGTCGTTAGACCAACGCGGGTAGAAGTGATAAATGTAGACAGTGATACAGACAGTGATACATACACTGATACAGACTAATTATATTGTGCAATGTTTCCGTCGACTATTACTTCTTTCGATGCATCATAAGGTGAGTAAATGATATATTTTAAGTGTATACACATGAATTCATACAATGATTACAACCTCTATAACGCTCGAATTCGTGTTAAAATGAATGAAATGAAGAGAATGGTAGCTGATTTTATCAATTACATTGAGAACCGAAATGATGTTCTTTGAAGTGGGTCAGAATTTCATCAAAAAATTTTTTTTCCAAATCAAGCACCCTGCACATCATTAAGTAACTGAACGCTCGATTGAATTCTGTTTCAACTGATAAATAGGCTTTCCTTTACCTAGCTCTGAAGGTTTTCGAGTTATTAGTATTTGAATACGTACTCGGAATAATAAAATTACATATGAGTATATCAAACATTTATTAAGAAAATCAATTACCCAATAGTGTTACGGTATTGACGGTATATAATTACAAAATAAAAAAACAAACAGAGCATATTACATTAAGAGAGAGAAATTGTATTTTGTTGAGTTTCGATATCGTCATCTTGTTCCTCAGGTTCTCGATGTAGGTTAAATTTGCTAATGATGCTGCCAGGAAGGAAATCGAATATTTCATACAAAAATCCTTTCAATTCAGCTTCCACCATATGTTGACAAAACGCATCTAAGCTCAAACTTCCATATCCAAATCGATGACACAATTCTAAGCCAATTTTATATTGATCAGCTAGATCGTAGAGCCTTCGAATCGCCACGGGATCAAAACACACGTTCATATCATAATTAGTTGCATGTAAAGCATCCATTTCTAGATCGCGGAATTCACACGAAAGCCTTCTTATTCCAGAATCGATATCTTCTGCTTTATCCCATCCCTGGCTTGAATAGTGCATCCACATTGTATTCGGAGACTTGAAAGTCTGGTATCTGAAACAAATATACGACATTAACATACGCATCTTATCTGGTAGGTTGACTTTATACTTACAATAGTATTATTATATAGTCAGAGATTACTAGTATGTGATATGTAAGTAACTATTTCTAAATATTTTTCACCCACCCTTTCGTATAACTGTACTTATTTAATATATCTAAGATATTGAGGAGATTATTATCGTTTATCGAATCTAATTAGAGACCACGATTTTGCCCCTGCATATGCTGGTTTATTCTGACCTGTGTATGTCAGACTATATCCCCCATTGGCTGAATTCATAACTTCAATATCACCTTCGCTCAAATTATCTGCGACACGTTTTGGTAGCCAACATTTGAAAGTAGAGCCGTCACGTTCATCGCATAATAATGCATAAATCCCTTTTCCGAATCTAGTTACGCAACAACATATTCTTTCAATTACGTAGGGATGGCCTACGATCAGAGTTGAAATCGATATTTGTTGGATGATATCAGCATCGCGGTTGATCATTTTATTGATGGAGTCTAAATCAATCGCACGTACTACAGACATATTTCTTCAAATAATCGTAAATTGCACAGCGAAAGGGAGGTATGATAAATATATAAAAATAATTCAACTTACACAGCACACTTCACTTTCTCACGAGAAACTTGTTCAAAATTATTTCAATACTTGTATCTTCACCAAACGAGTCGCTTCTATTTTGTGTTTTCAAATCTAGGATTCACCTGGTTATATAGTATAGAAATGTGGTGGGGGAACATCAAAGAAAAAAGAGCTCCTATAACAGCGACCTTGAACAAGTATGTTCACACACACACACACACACACACACACACACACAGAGACTTTCAAGGCCGCAACCAATGCCACATGCTCCAAGGCAAGAAATGATTGATTTTTATATTCATACATCTGCTTGTTGAGCCAGCTATTGTAAACGGTTAATTTAATTTCAACCATAGACTTGATTTGCTATTCGAAAGAATGATGAAAAATATATTCAAAGTAGCTTTCTCACAGCGGAAACGGTAAGAAATTGATTGCGGGTCAAGAGTGTGAAGGTAGACAAAATGTTGTGCATAGTAGATATCCAAGCGTAATGATTAGAAAGTCAAAATTGTACGCATCGTCCTATGTAGGTACGTACTCGAGGGCCAAAAAGGCGGTGCGGTGGGTGCCATAAATATTCGTAAGTATAAGATACATTCCAGCATTCATCGAACCGAAAGAAACTTTAACAAAAACGTCCTTGAACTGCAACTGGTGTTTGAACATCGAAAGCGGTACCTACTACGGTGAATACCATGCGATGCCCGCCTCGTCGCACCCCCCCAAAACCACCCACGGTCCTGCTCGATACAAACGGCATATCAGCTCTCTCTAGAGCCCCTTCGAAGCCCCACATCGTCTCACGCTCAAGACCACCCACGTCCAAGGTCACTGACGTCACTGCGGCGACGGTGCGGTGCAGTCACATGCCCAAGACCACACACGTTCAAGGCCGCCCACGTTCAAGGTTGCTGCACCTCTGAGGTGCACTCACATAACCCTCCTACTGACATAAACGCAATTTCTTTCTAGTACCCTTACCTAGATCATCTAGTGAATTCAGGTTATCTTATGCTATAAAATAACTTGGATGACTATGTTGTTACAATAAGGTCTTTTAACGGCTCTGTTCATACATATTGAGGTGTGCGTAACTAAGGAAACAATCCGTTTTTTGAACTTGATCTGTGAATTTTTCTATTTACCGAAGTATATTTATTGCAATTTGTTGTCTCCTGTTCTCGTTTATTTATGATAACTTATGTAACCCCCGAAAAATAATTTCCGTATGAGTGTTAGTGATAACTCAACCAATTTAGGAATGTATACGACGATGCCATGAAACGCAATAGTTGAATATAATCTTATCAATGGCTAATACGACATATCTCGGTACACCAGATATTTTTCATGCCATTTGTCAATGAGATTCGAAGCTGCGTCGACATATTGAAAATATGACTGTTTCCGGGTCTTTGATAGTTTCCTCAACAGTGTCTATTTTCAATCTAATTTTTGTTTTCAAGACGCAAGAAATAACAATACATTCTGGACAGTGCTTCATCTTCTGAATCATCCGGGATTGGATTGCGAAAATTGGTGACTTTAACAAATTGCTCATTTATTGACAAACAATTTCTGTTCTATCACTTCAAACAACCCCAACTTTTGATTTCCAGAAGGCACATGCTGTATTTCATTCCATAATCGATTAGGGCTTATAATAACGAACTCAACGATACCGGGTTTGATGGGATTATTCCTTTCCATATGCTTATTAAGTGTGACTTCGCAATATCAAAACTTCTTCCTCTGTGAACATATAAAAACTCAGAACGCGAATATCGTTTTAATCGTTTGAAATAACCACATCGAACTTGGTATCGTTGAATTCGATGATAAGCCTTTGCCGAATATGGAATGAAATACATGGTGTGTCATTCAAAAATTGGAAGTTGGGGTCATTTCCAGCGAACGGAAAATGATAGAACAAACAACGTTTCGTCAACTAACGAGCAATTCATTATACTTGCTATTCACCAATTTTCAATATTTGATCTCGAATGATTCAGAAGTTACAGCTCTGGCAGTTTTTTGTGCACTTATCTGTATAATGATGGTGTCTTAATCCTTAATAAATCCATTGATGTTTATAATTACCTTCCTTATTTCAAACCTGAAGCCTAGTTGCTCATTCCTAAATTGTATTGTACTTGTCATATCATATCAGTTATTATATCATTCATCAACTTCACACAACATCAATTGAACATGTAATTCACATTTCATTTCTTGAGGAGAATTCAAAGCGTGAAAAATAGTGTAGATAACGGTAAAAAGTCAAAGAAAAAAAATTGGTATAGTCTATCCAATGTCAATTGGAGCATCTCTCGCAAAGCGAAGTTAGTGTACGCGTGACTCGATTTGGATAAACTATACAAAACTCGTGTTGTAGGTAATGCAATACGCATTAGTGGAGCAACCTTCTTTCCGTTATCCATACAATGCGCCTCTTTACCACTTGTTATGTAATTTATAGATACTATTGTTCACCATAATTGTGCTCCTTATCTGGTGGAAGCAGATGAATGTTGAGCATTTTGTGATGAAAGCAATACGATATTTGGATGGAGCTATGAAAATGACCAATATTGCAACACAGTTTGAATAAGTGACCTCAACAGATATACCCAACAATTCAGCTTTTGTAGCTCTTTGATGATGAAAAAGATTCAGTCAATATATGTATTGCCAAATTCTAGACAAATATTCATATGAATCAATTTTTCAAGCAATAAGTAGCTCTTTCTGAAGATCACTGCCAGATTCGAATTATGAACTTTCAAAAACTCGAATAATTTGAAATATTTGCGGCATATCGAAAGCTGCACATTCAACACAATATTTTTCTGCAATAACTAACATCCACATATACATATACCGACTTGAAATTTCCATTTCAATCTCTAGTATGACCTTCTGTCTGTTCTAGAGTAGAAGTCATGGGATAGGTACCCTATAACATTCAAAAAATGAACTCGTTATCTAGTGGGGTCAATATTGGATATTATTCGATGAATAAGCACTTTGATATTATTGCTGCAGTGGACTATATTAGCTACTTTTATGGAAATCATCTACTCATTCATTATTGAAAAACCAAGAGCTGAGAAGTGATACAGATTCATTTTTGATTTCCTCAGTGTGAGAACTGTTGATTTTTATGATTAATTTGAATCGAAGTGGATTCAATGAAGTCAATTCCTCAATAATTTTCACTTTCCACAGAACTTTTTCAAAGATCCATGGAACACCTTCGACTTCGTCACTGTCATCGGCAGCATAGTAGACGCTATGGTAGTGGAATTCGGGGTGAGTATTGAACGATTCCACCCCTCATACCTGATTATTCATTTCACAACTTGACTACTCAAACACAGTTGAACTCAAAAGGATTAAAACAGTAGCAACTCCAAGAATAATCAAGCAGGAAAGCTCAGAGTATCTTCACATGATTTCCATACAATTAACGTGAAAAAAATTGTGAAGATAACTCCAGTTTTCATTTACCTTAATTTCTTCGGAGACGTCTTGCATTCAAGGTATAGAAAATATGAAATACAATAGCATGACATGCACACCAGGCAATACATGCACTGATTTTGAATGTTTGATTATGTTCATTTGTCATGCACTCGTTTTCCTCTGAGAGTACATTACTGATTTTTGTATTAAAGTTTTATTTTATTCAAGGAAAGGGCAGCCCAAATGACTAAAGAGCGGGTAAGGACAATTTTCACTCTCAACATATCCATTCAAATATATATATATATAGAAATAGAATAAAATCTCTCAGAATAAATGTATAGAGTCTAGGTTATTCGATTGATATAATTACTAATTGCTAGTTTTTATAGTTTATATATTTAGTGTTGGTAAGGTTCTCTCTACTAGAATATGTACTCAGTCACTAGATTCGATGTTGTTTCTCGAACATTTTGATTTTAAGAATGACAATGTGAAGCGGAATCATGAAGGTGAAAGCCAAATCCAAAAGATGAATTGTTGTTTTGGATGCCAGCTCGAGCTAAACCTAGGTTTTATTATGGTGAGTTGAGATGGGTTGTTCAGTGAGAAACCTCGAGACCCTGACTGACTGATATGAATATATTGATTTTGCGTAGATGAATCGACGAATTATATGTTCTGCCAAGACGAAGGATATGTACTACAGTTGCAGACGAAGTGATTTGCATAGAAAAAAATACATTTATAAATTCAATCATATCTGGCTGAATAAACAACAACTTATTTTTGGATATAAGAGTCGGTTTTCACCTTTATGTTTAGTTTCTACCAACTATATGATCATCTGTGATCCTTAGAATACTAATACTATTGAAATTGCTGGAAGTTTAGGTAGATTCCTTATAGTGAGATCTAAGGTTAGTCTAGGCATGAAGGAGCAAAGATTCCGAAACGTGTAATTTTGTGTGTTGAACTGTCGATTGTAGGCTACTGAACTGGATTGGACTGCTAGGATTGGAAAGTGGATGCAGGTATGTATTTTCAGATTTTTGAAAATATATCATGTGAAAATCAATAATTCTTGCATTCTTGTGGTGATGATAATAGTTCCAAAAATCTGGAGATACAGAGACATAGAAATTATCAGTGCATGAATGTATATTTATAGATAGTGTCGTGTAGATGATAATGCTGACGTTGGTATATTTGCATGAGAGAATTTCTTGAGTGGGGGTTGTGGTGAGTATATTCACTAGAAAACACACAACACAAAACACCTACTCGTAGCCGTAGATATTTTAGTGGCGCTTCTGATATCATGATATAATATCATTCATAAGGCTTTCAGAATCAGTTTTTTTTCAAGGCCATACTATTACTATTTGAATTTATAACCTCCTATTCAAAAAGTATATGGATTGCTTTTTCACTTTATTTGACACAAATTTCAGACGAATAGTTTAATAGAAGTCCCAAAGTCATAACCTGGAATTTGACTAGAAAATAGCAATGTCTATTCAATTGTTCTGGAAAATCATTACTCCACAGCTTTGGTACAAAACACTTCCGTCTGCCTCGAAATCAAAATATATTCATCGTCCCCAATGAAATTATTTGGTTTTAGAATTCGAGTGCATTCAATGGGTTAACATGGTGCCGAACAATCATTTAGTAGATAACTAGTATTCTTTCGGTGATTGTGGTGTCCTTTGAAGGTCATTCTCACTTGACGTTCATTATCATAGAATTTCCAGACACTCCTACATCAATTTTCAGTATGGAAGAGCGTATTTTCAAGACAACACTCACTAATTGACCTTTTCTATAGATACTTCAACGGGAGATGTTCTCCAGGAATCTTTGCCATCATTTCATCACAAGCAATACCTATCAGATGAACTCGGCAATCCCAGTCAGCCCTTCCTTCCGTATAAAACCTCGAAATATGTCGAACAGCTCCTTATCAAAACACGAACGAGAATCATCATGATATGAATTGAGGAAAAAAGGATTTCGTCCAATTATGTTGAATATGTTTGTGTATTTGATATGTTCTCAGTCACAAATATCTTCTAGGTAATTCTTGATAATAATGAAATTGATTGATTTCAATGTGGTTCAGTTGAATCTTCTTCTTTTCGTTTCGTACCAAAGCTTTATTCAATCAGCAGATTTGCCTCGAAACAATAGCTCTAGTCCTACATAGCTTTGTGTTCGAAGTATCTCGTAGTGTTGCCTTCAACAACTCCTACACACATCAGCTAATCTTTCGTCTGGCGATTTGCAGGAGAATTTCATTAACGTTGGATTTCTGAGGCTGTTTCGGGCAGCCAGACTTATCAAGTTGCTTCGCCAAGGGTACACTATAAGGATCCTGCTCTGGACGTTCGTTCAGAGTTTCAAAGCTCTTCCGTACGTTTGTGGACTCATCGCCATGCTGTTCTTCATCTACGCCATTATAGGGATGCAGGTAAACTGAACAGAAACACACTTTCCACTTGAACTAGGACAATATTCGGATCTTCTAATGCTAAATTTGTACTGTGTCTGTATTTCAGGTTTTCGGAAATATTGCTGAAACTCCAAATGAAGCGATAGACCGACATAACAACTTTAGGAATTTTATTCAAGGGCTGATGCTTTTATTCAGGTGAGTTTAATTCGATGTCACTAGAATGTTCGAGAAACAGTTTTTGGTACTACGCAAGGGGTTGAATCATTCAATGGTGTTGTAAATGATACAACTATATCGTGAGAAGCTTCTTTGGGGAGTCATAAATTCAAAGAAAATCACACTTCCCCTTATTATGTCATGTTCAAACTTTTATCGAACATTCAGCAACATTACAGAAGTCATTGATACTGTGGTACTACTGACCTTGTCGAGTTTGAAGGCACGACTTCTACTTTCAACCTCTGATAAATGATTCAAGAAGTACTAGGAAAACTCAAGAATTCCATGTGTTTGAGAATTCTCAATTTCCACATGTATATAGTCATTCTTTTTTCCTTTTTGGTCTTTTATCATCCACTCCATTCATTAAAAGAATATAGAAATATTAACTCTAACAAAATTCTTCACATTTTCCATTCTCCCATTTTATACATATTATGACGTGGAAAAATATTGAATTGGAATAATTCTTCATATTTCATTATAGGTGTGCTACAGGAGAAAATTGGCCAAGTATAATGCTGTCATGTATAAAAGGAAGATATTGCGATCCACATTCTGGAAAAAGTGGAAGGCAGTGTGGCCACAATATTGCTTATGCTTATTTCGTGTCTTTCATATTCTTCTGCTCATTCCTGGTGAGTATCAGTTGCAAATATTCTGTAAGATTAGTTCATCATATTAAAAAACAAAAAAGCTTAAGTCAATTCAATATTTGGAGAAAATTTATGGTTTTGCATACTTAAAGTAGCTGTGAAATTTCATAACGATCATTTAGGATGACTGGATGAAATATAAAGATAGATTGGAATTGAAGAAGATATTAAGCTCAATTTCGAAAGAAATCACACCTACAATTTCTTCAATGCAATGTTTCATTCACAGATGCTGAATTTGTTCGTTGCTGTAATTATGGACAACTTCGATTACCTAACAAGAGACTCTTCCATATTGGGTGCCCATCATCTGGATGAGTTCGTCCGAATATGGGCAGAATATGACCCTAATGCCACGTAAGTTATTTGTTTATTTCAATTTCACAAGAACATGAACTGAAATGTGTGAACCAACCCTTAATAAAAACAACACTTGTAGGATCCATATCGACAATTCTCCTTCTTAATATTCGTTTTTAGGGGAAAAATTCACTACACTGAGATGTACGACATGCTGAAAAACATGGACCCCCCTTTGGGCTTTGGAAATAAATGTCCCAACCGACTCGCTTACAAGAAGCTGATCAGGATGAACATGCCGGTGGATGATGAGGGCAGAGTGAACTTCACTAGCACCTTTTTTGGCTTGGTCAGAGAGAATCTCAACATCAAAATGAGGACAGGTAAATGGAATGAAGAATTTATGGAAATACTATAAATATAGAGTACATGAAACGTTGAAATCTATTTTCCACATATATTATTGTTTCAATATATTTTCAGCGAGATTATTGAGTATTTAAGCACTTACCTATACTTGATGCATATAGCTCTGAGATACAAAATGTTCACATGGGGGACAATATGCATAAATAACGTGCGAACAATGTGAATTTCAACACGCAATATCTCGATAGCGAATGTTTTTTTTTTGTAATTGCATTACCTCGTTGGTCCCAGCACTGGGACCAAACGTCTCATAAGTCGAAAGTTGTGCGGGGTTAGGTAAGCATGCAAACATAAACATCCATGGCCTAACTAGGATTCGAACCTATGTCCCGGTGGGAGTCCCCATACGAACTCAGCGCCTTCACGGTCTCGACCACCGAGTCGCCTAAAAATATTGTATATTATGTTCATAAGAAGAGTTATCATTCCATCGAATTTAATAAATTTCCTGAACATTGTTCGGTAGGATTTTGATCAACCTATCCACAATGAAACTTCATTCTGCAGTTGGGGTTCTTATCAACGTGTATCACATTCTGTCCGACATGAATGAGTACGGAAAAAATATTATTTCAAATATTCTCTTGATAATGCCTTTTCTTCCTTCCTTCATCGATTTCAAAACTGCCCTCGACAATCTGCTGAATATAATAAACATTAGTCTGTGAAGATTTGTGGAAAATTCACAGCTTATGTTTCTTTCTATCATTGTCATATCGATGAAGAAGGTTTCATACAAATAGTTCTTCACTTCCACTATGATTTCTATCGAATAACAACCGAGTCAATAAAAATAGACTATACATTCACCAGGAAAAAAACTGACCAGAAAAATATGTGGCCAAATTGATCGCTCTGTAACTTCATTAATTATATTCCGATTTCTCTGTTTGACCAAATCGTAGATTCATTTTCCGAATTGCCAACTTGCATTCTAGTACTCAGGAAGCTGAAGGCCTGATTATTGAACAGCGAGAAACAAAAAAACCCATTAACCCCTCCCAGATAGCACAAATTCCTTTTGAGGCCCTTCTGAGGCGTTCACAATCATGTCCTCAGGACGTCGAGAGCGAGCCTGAGGACATTCTCAAGACGTCCTCCTGTTACCATTCTCTACATACTAATAACGTCTCAGAACATCCCTATAAAATCTTTTGAGACAACCTCAGGACATCATGGTAACAACTTGAGGCGGTTTTTGATGATGTTTCAAGGAGATTCAAGATTTATGGGAGAATATTATTCGTATACAGAATGAGTCACTATAGTGTGTTCTCCTCCGATATTAGCAAAACCGTCAGATATATAAAATGAAAATTCAAGTACAACAGTAATAGGGTTTCATAAGAACAATCACCTAAAGTTGTTTTCATATCTATAGGGTGTTCGAATTCCAAGATATCGGTTGATGATTGGTTTTTTTCAATGGAACACCTTGTATATTATTGCATTTTTGAGTTTTCCCTGAAGAGTTGATTCCATCAATGCATCACACTCGGTGTCTAGTGGGAATTATTACAGAGATATAGGGTGTTGACAATTGAGATTCTTCAAATGTAGGATTTTTTGTGTCGAAACTATTCATTAATGGTCAAAACGGCTCACATGTTCCTGTCATAACTTTTGATTAGCTATCTACTGATATTTATTTGGAACAGATACAATAAGCTGATCAGTATTCTGAATGTTAACCCACCCTCTATTTGTTCCGATTGAATGTCAGTAGATAGTAAATCGAAAGTTTATAAGGATATGTGAGCCGTTTTGACCAATATTGAATAGTTTCCACAAAAAAAATCCTAAAATTGAAAAATCTTGTTTTTGAACACCCTATATCTCTGTAATCATTCCCGCTAGACCCCAAGTGTGATACATTGATGGAATCAGCTCTTCAGGGAGAACCTAAAAATGCAATAGTATACAGGGTGTCCCATTTGGAAAAAAACAATCATCAGTCAATATATCTTGGAATTTGAACACCCTACAGATATATATGAAAACAATTTGATGTGAAAGTTCTCATGAAACCCTATTACTGTTGTACTTGAATTTTCTCTATTTATCTGATGGTTTGGCTAATATACAAGGATAACACACTATTGACTCACCTTGTATAATGCAAATGATAATTTCTTCAAAATAATATGGATCTCATGATATTTGCAAAATTTCCCTCTATTTATAATAGGTTCAAATGAAAAACCAAATGAAAAACTTACATTCTATTATTTATAACTTATTCTGAAAAATTTCAATTTCCTTTCCAAATAAATGTATTTCAGCTTCTTGTTGAGCACTACTAGAAGTTATTGCCTATTGATAGTTATATTTCTCCATGTTGTTTTTGATTTCTGAACTCTGGACATTCCTGATGCAGAATAATCAACTGGAAGTTGAAGCCTTCATGCAATATTTTATAGATTCTGAAGAAGCAAAACTATCTTGGAATGAAAATATCATCAGGTTTGTGTTTTGCATAACCTTCTGAAACAAACAATGTATTAATATTTCATGTCCAGTACTTATTATCATCAATGATATGATTTATGTAGTTATATGTACCAACCATTATTGAATCTACTGAAAGTTCAAGTCTGCATATGTACAATCTTCATAATTTCCAAAGAAGCCAAAATATCTTGGAATAAAATATCTCTGCTCTGATGATATCATATCATTTTGTGTTATCAATAACCTCCTGAAACAAATAATGTACCTATTAATATTTCATGTTCCAGTCCCTACTATATCAATGATTTGATTTAGGTACCTACCTTTATTGAATATACTGAAAGTGCAAACATGCATATGCAATCTCACATAGATTTCGAAGAAGCCAAAATATCTTGGAATGAAACATCTCTGCTCTGATGACATCATCAATCTTGTGTTCTCAATAACTTCATCTGAAACAAATAATTAACCTATTAACATTCCTTGTCCAGTACCTACTATATCAATGATTTGATTCAGGTACCTATACTTTTATTGAATTCATACTGAAAGTTCAAGCTTCCATACAATATTTTATAGATTCCGAAGAAGCAAAGCTATCTTGGAATAAAACATGTTTGCTATGATGATATCATCAAGTTTGTGTTCTCAATAACCTCCTGAAACAATAAATAATGTATATGAATGTATCAATATTTCATGTCCGGTACTATCAATGATTCTATTTAGTATTTACTCACCATTGTTTCTTGCTACCTGAGAGAAATGTCATCAACAGAGATTATCATCCTTTTGTTATTGTTATCTTTTAATTCTGTGCAATAAGTTCTTCTCGCAATCATTTTGTGAAATAGAAATTTGATGAAGGTATTCAATGAATACTCTAATAATTTTGATATAATCATCAATATATTATGATGTATCTTGAACAAATCATGACTATCATGAGACATAACCTCAATTCTAGTTCTTCTTTTTCTTCCTTTTGTGTTCGATGACACGTTATTTCATGGAATGTCATCTGAAGACGTCCGTAGGCACGAAATTCTTTACATCCTCAGGCTGTCACTGAAAGAACTCATTTAGGACAATTACAGCGCTAAACTTACGCCTGATGATGTTCTTAGGTTGTAGAAAATAGAACGTCCTCTCCAGGCGTTTGGAGACACATTGAGGATGACCTTAGGCGAGTGTGTGCTATCTGGGCTAACTTCTCAACGCACTGTGGCAGAAGTGAATTGTATTTGAATTGAAGTGTGATCCATTCTCAATACAATATCTTCTTCTTGAGAGGAGATATGTGTTTGAAAAAAGTATGAAATTTTTTAATTTCCATGAACAATAATTGAAAACCTACATATAACTTTTCGATCCTAATCGTTTTCTCAGCATCAATGAAACAAATTCAATTACAAAAAACAAACGAGAGGCAGACCTCCTAGATGTACTTGAAACAAATCCAATACCTACTTCCTGTCCCTATCCTCCCTAGGAACGCACGATGTTCTTTGAACATTATAGGGATTTGCTTTCGTGCGCTCCAAGCGATAAAAAAATAAGCGAGTATACATTACTCGAGCTAGAATTACAGCATTCATCTGCCTTGGCATCGAGTTGATCAAACTTCTCAAGCTGTCTTGAGGAATAACCTCAAATTCTTGTTGAAGGGGAAAAACAGGTCTTGAAGAGTCTCTGGCAATGCGACTATGGAGTTCATTCCAAAGATGCTCTATAAAAGGAGAGGGGGAATTGAGGAAGAGCCCTGTATAGTTATCATGCATTTGTGACGATTTATGGACAATTTTCAACTTATTGTTTCATCTATTTGTCATATCGTTGACTTTTCCTCAGTATACATTTTTGACAGGTAGATGAATTCTAAAATTTCTGGGATTGTGAGAATTTCCTCTGGAAATCTACTGAATAAGAATGAGCATCATAAATTTGTTAAGATTTGTGGAAAACTCACAACTCCTGTCTCGAACTATCACAGTCATATCGATGGAGGACTTTTTTTAAATATCGTTCACGAAGTTTTTCATCAAGTAACAGCCAAACCAATACAAAAATAGTTACTGATGTAACGAGTCTGTGGAGTGAGTGGAGTGTCAGATTAGGAACAGCTGTTTTCACACTATCCACGATCTCCTCTGAAGTAGTATTCTAGTCTACGTCGCATTCCATTCTCTATTTAGTTATATGCATTTAGCAATTATCAAGTATATCTAAACATGTTACCAGGGACGACTTCATGAATTTCTTATGTCAATGACTTGTGACGACATCTGGTTTCTAATTTTCTAATATCGAAAAAGTCATCGCCATCTTGGGCTAATTTGGATGAATCGCTCCAATCTCGCTGAATCTTTGACGCGCGAGCATTCATTCCATCGCTCAGCAACAAGCATGAAGAAAGTGCACACAAAACCTCACTTACTTGGACAGTAGAATTGTTTTGTGAAACATATTATTTTTTCGCCGAATCTTATAAAACCAATTG